GCTGCTGCTGCAGAGGCTGAGCAGCCTGGAGTTAAAGGAATGACAGCTGGCATCCAGCTGGGACAGGCGCAGCCTACTGAGCCAAAGTTCAAGGACACGAAAGTCAAGAGTGAGGCTGGCAATGGAGCAGCTCAGGTTGGGTCAGTTCTGGAGAGGAGCCTCACTCTTGGGGAGGACAGTGACACAGATGTGGAAGGAGAGGGGGTTCCTATGACCCCATGTGTAGGTCCTGGGAAGAAGAAGCAAGCCCTGCTTGGAGTTGGTACAGGGGACCCTGGAGCACCTGGAGTGGGACATGTGCAGGGCAGCCCAGCCTCAGCTGTGGAGGAGGGCAGGGCGCCAGTGGCTGTCCCTTCCGAGACAAACCACACACCCATGGTGATTGACAGCGACACAGACGAGGAAGGTGAAGTCTCAGCAGCACTCACCTTGGCCCATCTGAAAGAGAGGGGAATTACTTTGTGGAGCAGAGACTCGGGCATGGAAGACGTCAAGTCCCAACCCCAGGTCCTTGTAGAGCGAAGCCAGAGTGCCTCTGGAAGAGACAGTGACACAGACGTGGAGGAGGGAAAGAGAGAAATGGTCCCTGACAGCCCCATGGACACAGAGAGCCAGCCTCCCCATAGAGCCAGAGATGGAGGTGAGGATGTGGACATGAACTCCCCTGGTGGCCACCTAGAGGGAAATCAGGCCTCCTCTGCCACAGTAGACAACAATGCTACACAAGTGGAGGAGGAAGTCCCGCCAGAGCCAGCTGTTACCCTCGGGGAGAAGCACCAGCTGCCTCTAGAGGAAGCCCAGCCTTCTGAGGAGGCCTGGGAAGCAGCTGTGGGGGAAGGCTCCTCTTCAGCAGTGGCAGATGTAAGAAAGAGCCAGCAGCTGGTAGCAGAAGATGCTGGGAGAGAGTGTGCCACAGCTGTTTCTGAGGCGGAGAGCACTCTTGAGGTGGGGGCCCAAAGCAGGTCACCTACTGCACCAGTGGAGCAGGTGGTGGTGTATACAGGTACTCGAGGGGATCCCACACAGCCACAGAGAGAGGGAGCACAAATGGGCAGAACCAAGACTGCCAAAGACTGCTCTGACGGTAAGTGCTGCCCTCTGCTCTGCCCTTGACCCTTGAAATAGGCTGTCTATAAGGTTAGAGGAGAACTGTAAAGGTCTTGAGGATGAGAGCTGATACTTTATCTGTCTTATATCTCTTCCCACAGAATCTGACGATCTGTGCCTTCCAGCTACCCAGTGCTTTGTAGAAAGGGAAAGCCAGAGCTCAGCAGGTGAGGACACTGTGGTGTTTGTAACTGAGTACAGCAGAAGCTGGTGATTAGACTGGTGGTCCTTGAAAGACTGTACGGCCTAGATGGGGAGTGGGGCCTGGTGTTCTGGGGGAGCTGTGTTCCAGCCATCTTTTCTTGTGCAGCTCAGAGTTTGGAAGATGAGCCTACCCAGGGCTTCCTATGTACTCTGCCCCAAGAGCCTGGGCCTTCCCATCTTAGCCTTCAGACTCCAGGTATAACAAAGTCTCTCTGAACCCTCAGCTTCGTATTCTTTCTTGTTTTCTTCCTCTACATCCTTTCATGGTCTGTCTTGTTGGGAACTGTGGACCCACAGACCCTGAATTTTCTGTAAACAACTTGTTTTCTTCTGCTTGCAGCTGCTTTGAACACAAGACAGGAGAGTGGTTTCTGGTGGGCTTGCCGCTGAGAGTTAGGGCATAGCCGTTTGTCAAGGAGACCCTACATAAGCTGCCCTGGAACACAATACAGTTGGCATTCTTGAGGCATTCGTGGTGTTCTTGTTTCAAGAGTGACGTGTGTGTGTGTGTGTGTGTGTGTTTCAGTCAGCAGCCCCTTGCCCAGCTCGCGAACCTTGCAGTAGTGCAGGCAGTATGCTACAGCCTTATTACTGTAGTACAAGAAGTACAGTCGCTACAGGACCATAGTACCACGTAGCACAGGAATTACAAGTCTTATTTTAGATTTATCTATTTTTATGTGTATGAGTGTTTGCTTGCATGTACTTACGTTCACCATGTGCATGCCTGCTGCTCACAGAGGTCAGGAGAGATTGTCTTATCCCTGGAACTGGAGTTAAGAACAGTAGTGAGAGTGTTCTTACTCAGGCGATGGTGGCGCACGCCTTTAATCCCAGCACTCGGAGGCAGAGGCAGGCGGATCTCTGTGAGTTCGAGGCCAGCCTGGTCTACAGAGCGAGTTCCAGGACAGGCTCCAAAGCCACAGAGAAACCCTATCTCGAAAAAAAAAAAAAAAAAAAAAAAAAAAAGGAGGGAGTTGGAGGGGTGTATTAATAGCTCACTTGGCAGAGTGCCTGCCTGGCAATCTCCAGCAGCACATAAACTGAACATGGTGTTGCACATCTACAATCCCAGCACTCTGGAAGTGGAGGCAGAAGTCAGCTTAAGGTCCTCCTCTGCTACAGAGCGAGTTCAAGTCCAGCCTGGGCTATGGGAGAATCTGTCTCAAAAAAACAAACACTAGAGTGGGGGGAGGGCATCTGTGATGTGACTGCCTTGGTAGAGGCGCTGCACTCAAAACGGCCGAGGCTCCTCAGTAGACTGGACGAAGCTTAACGTCCCTTCTTTCATTAGAGACTTTCCTGCTAAGCCCCATTACTCCTGCAAAGGCAGTTCCTGGGATAAGGCTAGCTAAGGAAGTGGGAAGGGGAGACATGACAGTTGCTTCTGTAGGCAATAAAGGTCCAGAATTCCAGCCCAAATGCATCCATCGTCCCCTCAGCCATCACCCTTACCTTAACATAACAGACCACCCCTGTGGGAGAGGGAGTCCTTAACCAGTGTTTGCCAACTCTGACCTGGTCCCAGAACTGCTCTGCAGCCATTGGAAGAACAATTCAAAGTCGCCAGAGGTTTCTAGCTCTTATTTCTATGTGTTTTTTTTTAATTATTTCCTTAAATTCCAATGAAGTGTCTAAAACGTAGTCAGCCCCCTTCCCCATGGAGGTCATGCCATCTGGCTGCATGTCAACCTAGATTAAGAGAAACTCACTTAACTAGTTAAGCATGACCGTGTTTCCAGAAAGAAGGAAGATGCTCTTGGCCAAAGGGCAGGCACTACAAAAAGGTGTGTGTGGGCGGAATGAATATTCTTTCCCCCCACTCCCTCTTTCTCTCCTGAGGCTCAACAGCATCTCTGCTTGCTCTTGGACATCAGAACTCTAGGACCCTAGCCCTTTAGCCTTAGACAAAAAGCTTTACTTTCAGCCCTTGTTAGCCTCGCTTCTCTGCTTCTCCAGCCTGCAGATAGCCTAAGCAGTTCAACCTTTCAGCTGGGAAAGGGCTGAGCTCACGTCTCCTCCAACTCAGAGTCCTCTCTCTGTTCAGCCATATCACTTCCTGTTGGACAGATCCTCCAGACCTCTGTTAACTATTGACTAGTTCCACCCTCTGATCTTCAGACAAGCTTTATTTGTTAGGGCATAACAAAATATCACCACACTCAATAATCAGGCAGACATTAATCCCAGCAAGCAGAGGCAGGAGGATCTCTGTGAGTACAAGACCAGCCTGATCTACATAGCAAGTTTCAGGTGAGCCAGGGCTACATAGTGAGACACTGCTTTAAAAAAATAAACAAAATGAAATAGACCTCTATAATTATATCAGGTACCTTTCTTCTCATCTCCATTTGTTTTTCTGGAGAACCCTCACCAATGGAGAGGGCTTTATAGAAACCATCTAAACGATGAAGAATATTAAGCAATATTAAAGTAAGTAGACCTCCTGAGTATTTTAGGTTCAAAAGAACAGGCAAGGGGGTAGCTGAAGGCAGTAAGTTGAAAACTGAGAAGGTAGTCGTTCTTGGAGACTCGCAGACAGCAAAGGTGGGCATGAAGGGAGGTTGGAAGCCAGAGGAACAAATGTCTAAATTCACGTCCCTCCCTCTCTGCGATTTCCTACCAGAGCTCTACACTGGCTGAGGCAGAGAAAAGCTGCCAAGCAGCAGTGTGTGGCCACGTTCATCCTGGGCAGTAGGCCAGGCATGAAGGATGAAGAGGGAATCTGAAAGGTTCCAGAAGGCACCCAACTCACTGTAAGAGCCTAAGTCAACCCCAATGATGGAGTCACTATTGTTTGTGTCACAGTGGAAAGAGGCAGCAAGGTCAGAGGTTTTCCATTTTTCTTTTCCCCAGCATCATCTTCATGAATGGTCAAACTTCTCCTTACAGTCACAATGCACAGGGTCTCTGGCTTCCAGCAGAGACCAGGACAAAAGGAAACCACAGTCTTTATAATAATAGTTCCTCCTGTTCCCACTGCTTTAGCTCTGCCTGGGGACAGAACCTGATGAGGGCTAGTCAAATTTCTTACTTTAGTCTACAGCACCAGTTCCCACTCTGTGGGCCATGATGTCTTTGGCAAACCTCTTATCTCCAAAAAAAAAAAAAAAATTACATTACGATTCCTAACAGTAGCAAAATTAGTTAAGAAGTAGCAATGAAAATAATTTTATGGGGGCTGGAGAGATGGCTCAGCGGTTAAGAGCATTGCCTGCTCTTCCAAAGGTCCTGAGTTCAATTCCCAGCAACCACATGGTGGCTCACAACCATCTGTAATGAGGTCTGGTGCCCCCTTCTGTCCTGCAGGCATACACACAGACAGAACATTGTATACTTAATAAATAAATAAATAAATAAATAAATAAATAAATAAATAAATAAATAGAAAATAATTTTATGGCTGGGTTCCCCACAACATGAGGAACCATATTAAAGGGTCACAGCGTTAGGAAAGTCAAGACCTGCTGGTCTAAAGGCTCAGCAAGGGTTCACCTGAGCTCGCTGGAGGTGGAAGACCAGACAACTGCTGTTTCTGCTGCTGCAGGGAAATGAGAGATGGCTGTTAAGAAACCCAACAAGATTATTCACTGGGTCAGATGCTAATCCTAGCTCATGATTCCAGACAGTGAAAATTAGGGCAAGGGTTACTTCAATAAAGCCCATTGCTAAATCAATGAACAGAGAATTCTGCCATTCTCCTGGGCCTGCTACACAAGGATGTAAGTAAATACGGGCTTAGGGTTTGGGAGTTGGACAGAGTTCAAATCTCACCCCTGACACTTGTGCCATTTGGACCATGCCAGTTATTCTCTGGAAACCTCGATGTTTTTGTATACTAACTGTTGTTTGGTTCATTCCTTTCTCTAGAACAATGAAAATTAAATGAAAAAACAAATCCCCAATACCTGCCACTATCTACACTTCTCCACCCTGGTACTCAAAAACTGAGAACTCAACCCTCATGTAAGTACACCAGCTCTCCACAGTAAGGGGTAGGTTATATAAATGTAGTGATTCTAAAATTTTAAAAAAGTCAAGCCTGAGTCTACTTAAACTTCTTTTCAAAGCTCAAAGGAAGGAGTCCTAAGTATTCTTAAATTTCAACCTCCTACACACCCCCAATTATTGCTAGAGTTCAAAAATAGAAGGAAAAAAAAAAGCTGTGAATCAGGCATGACAGTGCATGCTTTTAATCCCAGCACTCCGGAGGCAGCGGCAAGGGGAGCTTCTTTCTGCTCATTCCACCTGTTCTACACAGCGAGATCCAGGCCAGCTGGGGCAATACAGCGAGACCCCCATCTCAAAAGATAAATACACAACTATAAAAACAAATTAGCAAATCCAGTCTTGAATGCAATTTTAGATTTTCTTAAAGATTTATTTATTTTATGTATATGAATGCTCTATCTGCATGTATGACTTTATTTCAGAAGAGGGCACCAGATCTCACTATAGATGGTTTGTGAGGCACCATGTGGTTGCTGAGAATTGAACTCAGGACCTCTGGAAAAGCAGTCAGTGCTCTTAACCACTGAGCCATTTCTCCAGCCCCCAATTTTAGAATTTTTAATGTATATGTCCATCAACCTTCCCAAGGTGCTTTTCTGATGGAAATGGCTTGTATTTCAAGAAGCACCTTTATGTAAGGGCTCAAATGTGCTGGAACTGTCAACTGTCAAGTGTTTCTAAGAGCCTCCTCTGCCTAGTAATCAATGGCTGTAGAATGAGCGGGAAGCCATTTCTCATATTCAAAAGCAACAGGAATGAATCACAGGTTAAAACACGAATCTGGTTATGGATGCTTGGATACCAGAAATCCTTTGTTACTGAGAGCTCTGAAGAAAGCCTTGGGGCTTCTGAAATTATTTTCAAACTTGAACCCCAGGACATACTTTAATACCTGGCGTATAAAACGTTTCAGGTGGCACTTCAGAGTTACACCAGGAAAACACAAAAGGAAACATAAAACTAGCTGTAACCTTGACCACACTCCCTTCTGCACCTTACATACACACATACGCATCCCATACTGAACCTCACAGCCTAACTATCCAGCCACGGTCTTTCTTCCTCATTGAACAACCTCCACCTTTCCCCCACCTGTCATCAGCCCAGTGAGCTTTACTTTAAGGAATCTCAGATATGACAGTTGTGAAAGTCAAGGAAAACTTAACTGCCAGACTGAAAGGCATAATCACATGATCCCTGACCCTAGACTGGGAACTTTTGCTAGAAGCCACTGGGACAACAGACAAAGCTTGAATCAGATATCTAAGTGAAGGGGATCTGAGGGTTCTCTTACCATTCTTTTTACCAATATGTTTTTGAAAAATAAAGCTGTTGTGGTTTGAATATAAAATGTCTCCCACAGGCTCATGTGTTTGGTCCCAGCTGGTGTCACTGGGGGAGATTATGGAGCCTTTAGAAAGTGGAGCCTTGCTGGAATAATTATGTCACTGGGTGAGGGCTTTGAGGCTTTTTAATTTTTAATGATTTTTATTTCATACTTGCATACAATGCATTTATTCTATCAGCCCAACTCCTCCCAGATCTGCCCCTTCTCCTAATTCATGTCTTTGTGACTTTTCTAACCCGCCTAGTCCACGTTGTGTTGACCTGATTACTTACGGGTGTCAAGACATCCATGGGAGCATGGCCGAAGCAGCAGGGGTTACACCCTTAAACCTGGCTCTCCCTCTCCAGAAGCTGCTGGATGAAAGCTAATGAGTGCTGGGACACTGCCTGCTCCACCAGTGCAGGCAAGCACAGCTGAGAGTGGTGGTCCTGTGCAGGTGAGGTTTCACAGTGGCCTTCCCTAATCCCTCGTTCTTACAATCTTTCTGCCTTCTCTTCCAAGATGATCCCTGAGACTTGGGGGAAGGGAGTTGTTATATGGATGTCCCATTTATGGCTAAGTACTCCACAGACGC